AAGTAGTTGGAGAGATTCAAGAGGAAGTTTGTGTTTACGTTGTAGCAGAGATTTTTTTTATTTCATGGTTGAGTAGGATTATCAAAATTATCTAATCAGTCGCTCTGATAAACCTTAATTTTTAAACTATATTCCTTAAGTTAAAATCTTAGAGATTAAGAAATTAAAAGTTGTAAATGAATGCTTCGTAGGCCTATTAAAACAAATTTAACAAATTTAAAAAAGTTGAAATCGTCAGGTTCTTCTCTTTTAGTAGTTATAATCAGTGAAGTTTTTGAGCTATGCACAGTTTAATATGCTTTCACAGTGCATTAAAATACTTTTCTTGTGTTTGAGCGTATGACCCTATAATTATTAGAGAAGTACTACAGCCTCGTGTCTTTCGATACTTATTTGCTTAAATGCGAAAAATTACAAATCATCAATCAAGAAATTGTTCCTTTAAGAAACAAATCCAACTTAAAGAATATGCGTTATCTACAAAGAAAGACGTAACGTTACATTAATTATCACCAACGTCAAAAGTTATTGTCTTGTAGTTAATTACAACATGTTTTATCCCTAAATTTTTTTTCGTAGGTACACCTCTTACCTACACAAATCGTGAAAAATGCTGAATTGACTCATAGAGTATGCAAACGTGCACAAGGATTTTGGAAACGAATTTTGCTTGTTTACGTTCATAAAAAGCTAGAATAAAATGTTGTGATGGTACTTTCCTGTTAAAGGGAACATTCATTATTATCGATGATTTTTTTCTCGATATATCGATATTAACAAATTAAAACATATCAGCTGACAACTGCGATAAATATTGTTCAGTATCATTAATGAAATGAAACTGTTCTAAAAAAATTACCTAACATAACTAATTAAACTTGCTGTGTAACATTCCATGTTTAACTTGCCTTTTCTGCTATCAAAAGGAATTTTTAAATAGTATAGCAAGTTTGGTTGGTTATGTTAGGTTAGCTTAGAACAGTTTCATTTCTTCTAATTTCATTTCCATACAATATACTATTTTAGCCTAAACAAGATCAGTTGTCAATATGTAATGGATCGGTAAACAAAAATATCGATATATCGAAAAAATCATCGATAATAATTAATGTTCCCTTTAACAGGAAAGTACCGTTGTGATATTTATAGATCTACATAAAGCAATTAAAAAAGGTTAAACAGAGTTTGAATGCTACAATATCAACTTAAAAGCCTGGAGCCGAGAAAAAAATACAGAAATTAAATGAGTGTAAAACGGCCCAAACGTTTTAGTTTTCTGGTTGAGGTGCTGTGTATAAAAAATACCGCCAAATAGGACAACTTTTAGGAAAACATATAACAATGATTCTAGAGTCACTTTATTTATTCTAGTCTATTAAAATGTTATTTGGATCGTTATCAAAGAAAATATCTTTAACAATAACATGCATGCTAAATATGCCATGGAAATGGTATTGAATAATGTTTCGCCATATTTACTTCATCGTCACAAGTAAGCGCAACACACTTTGCTTAACGTCTACAAAGATTCGCTCCATTTTCATTTTTAATTGAGTGAATCCTATCTCAGATTCAATAAATCTTTCACTTTGGGAATTACCACATCATCTTTACATGTCAAGAGGTTACGGTTTTTATTTTGGCTTTGCAGTTTTGCACATTACTTTTATATGAGTCGTACAAAAACACGATTTGTCCTAAGTGAAGCTTTGTCTACTCCACTATATTTTTATTATATGAAAAGTACTGTATAGTTTTAGGAAATTTAAAAGGTATCTTCCATCGTTTCTCCTCCAAAAGACGTATATTATTAGACGCTTTTGAAGCAGGCACTATGTACACAGAAATTTAATTTATATAAATTTCCACACGAAATATACTCGCACATGGTACTACAAAGGAACAATCCGAAGGCATTAACATTGTTCTTACTATGTCCCCTAAGGTTTAAACTAGGACTAAAACATTACAGAGAAATATCTCCTTTAATCTGATTTTTCTCACTATATTTTAATCACAAGTAAATTTACACCTGCCAATGGAGACATAATTTACTCTACCAATATGTCAAAACGTATTATTTTCAACTGTCTTTAGTGTTCGTTATATCTCTAACTGTCCTAAACTAAAAACGGTTGTAACAGTTTTATATTGAGGATGTAACACCCATTTAGGAAAATATCTTGTTAGGCTATAGTTTCCCTTATAACACAACCTTACGCAATTCGTTTGCTTATCGTAAAAAAAATATATGATTAATCATCGGTTTGAATAATAACACTCAAGTATTTCTTTGAGATGGTTGCAATTATTTTTATAATACTGTAGAACGAGAAATATTACTTGTTAAATTTATAAAATATATGATTAGAGTGGAGCTCAAACAATCATAAACAGTTCTGTTTGCAGGTAAATATTGTAATCCTCAGATCATTGGGTATTATCATTAAAACCGGCTGTAAATATGACGCTTACCTTTCATTTGCTCCAAAATGTCCCGCGGGAAAACAACGAACACTCCACTGTTTAAACTCTGAGCACTGTTGCGTTATATACAAGTTTGAAGAGCTTTGAAATGGGTCGGAATCCAGCTGAACAACAGTTGTTTTCTTACTGATTATTACAAGATAATAACTATGGTAACAGTTTATATTGATTTACACCAAACAAACAAGAAGGTATAATTAATAAAAACGCAGAAAACGATTATACCAAGTATTTGATACAAACAATTGAAAAAATAACTCTCATGTTATTCCTATGGGAAATGAGTAAACCGTTGTTGTTTACTCGTTTGTGGATTTATTTTTAAAAAATTTGGAAAATTTCGTTATTTTATACCAAATTATTATCTTTTGCTAGTAACACACTTTATAGCTTTCCTTGCAGTGGCTAGGTATGGATTATTCATTAAACCTAATACAGCTTACATTTAAGGAAATATTTGATTGAAAATCTGATCATGCGAATGGAAATTCGCTTAGTCTGCAGTTGTTCTTTGGTGGGGGTATGTATTTACTGATAACTGTGCCTTTTACAAAGCAATTTCAGACTCTTAGTCCGATATTATATTAAAATCTATATAAATAAAAATGAATCCCCTTTTATGATGGTATTTCACAAGTCGAGAACGAGTGCGCCGAATTTGATGATTTTTTAGTGCCAGGGGAAGGTTTTTGTGTAAGGCAATTTATAATCCATGCAACCGTCATTTAGTGATTTGGCATTAGAAGTCGGCGACGTAGTATATCTACCTACATTAACAGATTATACATTTCAAATAATCATAATAATTATGCCAGAAGGAAATATTTAAATGAAAATATAGTTGTGATATACTGTATTACATTTTAAAAATATGGGATTTATAGGGATTACAATAATAATCGTCCAATCGTATAAACTAGAGTAATCCAATTAAATCAGTTACCAAATGCAAAATGAGATTGGTTAGTTGGTTCTTAGTTTGCAATATAACTGGAGAAAATTAAAGGTATTAAATTGTTTAGAAAAATCCTATGTAACAAAACTTATAGAATTACCCAGTTCTGGAATACGCATCAAATGTAAAATTGTTCTGGTAAAATTTACAGTTTACTAACATACTGCATAGACTGTTTTGGAGCTAATGAAGTGTTTAAAGAAATAAGTAAGTTTGTGTAACTGATAGAAAAACACATCTAATTTACGCATACATTCTAGTTTATTTAAATGTTGATAATATTTAAAAAAAAACTTGCTTTGCTGTGGTGGGGGCAGTTTTACATTTAGCACACAAGTTTAAGATCCAATGTGAAATAATGTCACGCAAAAATAGCACATTGCAGACGATTCGTTCAAGAAACAGTTTTTGATTCTCGCTCTGAAGAATCGATTGTTTTTGAGATAGGGTTCGCTCCATTACAGATGTAAATGGAGCGAAGCACCATGAGCGTGGAGATCAGTCAACAGCACATTCTGTAGAAAATGGGGTTCGTTTTGTGTGATATTCTTTCTAGTATGTAGAATATTTTGTATTAATGTTTTTTTTTCTGTGTATTAATGTAGTGCGCTTTTCAATAATTGAAATATTGAGTAATTCAATACACTAGTTCTTATTTATTCTATATGTTAAAGCGATAGTTAGACAACCAATTGTGGTTTATTGTGTATTTTTTAAAATACATATTGCTACTGATTAGCCTACTACGGTTCATAAACGTTGTGTGAGTCATTAGTGTTATTTTTGTCTGTAACTAATTAAACACTTATTCACGTATCATAAAAGTTTAGGTTTATAATAAATGCTCTGATAATAAAATGTTTATTTATATTATTTTGTTTCGCGAATGAATTTAAATAAATTAATCAAAGGTAATATACATTATTTTTTGAAACAGAAATTATGTTTTAAAAGGTGTTTCAGTCATGATTAATTTATCTTCGATCAGGCAGTATTTCGTGTTTTGATCATTTTCTAATAAGGACATAATTAACATTTGGTCAATAAATTAAAGTTGAAAGTGATAAGGTTTTTTAAAAACCAAACAGATTTCTTTCGTAAAAAACTTTGTTTATAATTATATTAAATTAGAATGAGGTGGATTACAATTTTTAAACAACTGTCCAAGGCCTTATATAAAATATGATATTGCTACATTATTTGCAAATAAAACGTAATAATGTGATTCGGTGTTTGTGATTTATATGCAAACTGTTCCAAGTTTTTCTACAAAATTATTGTTCACAAAAATTTGCTTAACATTAAAAAGCATTTTGTAATCGTAATAAAAAAAACGTCACCTCTTACATAATTATGGTCCTGAAACCAATCATAACACGTAATTGATAATTGATTGACAATTAATTGACAAATAATTGACAATTACATAATTGATGTCACCAATCAACTATTGAGAAGAATTTCTTTGAATACATACGCCAGTTATTTTATAAACGAAGTTTAAGTAAACTATATTAACATATAGAACGTATTTAATCTCAGTGCATAACTTGTTTCAGATACATTATATTCAGTTTTCTCTTGACTTTATTCTTCGTCAGCGTCTTGTTGGTTATTGTTTTAGGGGCTGATCAGGTAATATGCATCAGAATCATGTTTCTTATAGATTAAGGTTATCGAACTGAAATTGTTCACTCTAATATTATAGTTTGGTTACTTTTTGTGTTAAAGCATTAAACAAAATTACTTCCGCAAAACATGAAAGTAAACCATTGGTTGCTTTAAGAGTTTAAAACAAGGAACACCAGAACATAATGACTTGATAATATAATTGAACTTAATTCCCTCTTAGCATAACCTAAGCTTGTAATGTTGTTGTTTCAGTATATATTTTCACCCCTTTGTGAATCATGGGAATCTATTTACCTAGTAGAGATAAAAATTCACCAATAGATACCATTTAATTTGGATCTAAAGCCAGGTTTTCCTAGGTGTGGAAGTGGAGCGCGGAGAGCGAACTTCTCTTGTATTAGGTAATTTAATGTTACTGTTTTCATATAAATGAAATGAAATGCGTTGGTTTGAGCTCTCCGCCCTCCGTTCTCCACGCTCCTCTTCCGCGTCTAGGAAAACCCGGCTTAAAGATGACACCAAAGTGAATTATTTATAGGACAGCTCGGTACAACATGGAGGTATCTTACTGAAAGCTTGGGGTGGCCACGAAGAAGACTACGATGATTTGACCGAAGAAGTATTCGAGCCAGATATTCCAGAGAATATATGGGCTTCCTACAACAACAGCTTTGGGCTGCTTTATTTCTAAATACGAATGTATAATGATTATAATAAACAGATTTCTTGAAATATAGTGTTAGCCAACATAAACAGTACTGAAATGGTAATATTTTAATATGGTATACATTACATATAAATTTTACCAACACATACAAGTCAAAGGAAGTAAAATCTGTTGAACTCAGGTAATAACATATTCAATATGACCCACGTTCAGTTTGTACATCAGTTTGTAACACTCGTACTGTTTTGTAGGTTTGGCATCATTTTTATGACTAGGGGTTGTTTAATCCTCCTAATATGGTTATTTTCCTTTAGTGGTTTTCATTTGTACAGACGGATGGGTGACCTAAAAACCCCTTTCTCTGTGTTAAAATACAACCTGATCTTCAAAATCTTTCAATGACACTAGGAATGATAGAATTAATATGCGGGTCTTTAAGGAAATGATCTTGAAAAAGCAATGCAGTGTGTGTACGCTTGGCCTCCAAAAATGTCAAATTCTGTAAGAGCAAAAATAATGCTCTCTGATAAAAGTTTCCTCTACCATTAGCACCATATTAGCAAAAACTAACCTCAAATAAGAAAGAAGTAATAAACACGAAGCCGTGGCAACAATCAACAATTGACTAGTCAGCTGATCGAGAAGACAACTACAGCTGATTCGGTTTCAGTACTGTTTATTTTGGCCAATACTGTACATGTCATATAGTCTTTGTTATTTACCAAATAAGCATTGCCGTTTATAAGTGTAATAATTCAGTTTTTAGATGGGAAAACTCAACACTAAGTGATAAACATGTGATACAATCATACTCCCTAACGATGCCCAAGAGTGCAGTTTTAAGGAGTTATCACACCAAAGTTTAAATGGCCATGCACGATGTGTTCTAGAGCCTACAGTATTTCATATTACCAAAAATCATTCGAGTTTCACTAGTGAATTATGCAAATTAACCTTGTTAACTGTATTTATTTCATTTTATTTTTTATGGGACTGATTGACTACCCTGCTTATAGTAACAAAATAATATATACGTTACATATATATTTGCTTTAGAATAATAACTGCCCTTATATTCCTACAGGTATAGGTTTATTATTTTAAAACTGAATGTAAAATAATAATATAATTTATATTGCTACACGTCAACAAAAAAATATATACTCAAACTAATGCATTTAGTTAATCATTCATATGGTATAGTAGGTAAATAAAAGAAAAGATTTTCTACGTCTAATCCGGTAGAAAATAATTCTCCTCATAACTTTCCCCTATTGATTCACGACATTGGTATTATACCGACAAACAAGATTTTAATTAGTTTAAATAACAAAGTAACCTAACCTAAAACATAGTCAGCCACTAGGTTAGGTTAGGTTAGCTTAGGTTAGGTTTGATTATAATTATTAGGTGTGGTCAGTATAATACCAAAGTAACATTGATTCTTATCATATTGTCTCCACATTAAAGAATACAGAACGTAATTAATTTTTTACGAATTAAAAACAAAGTTAATGTACAGTAATGAAAAGGGAACAACCTAAATCATTCACAATGCCTAGTGAGTGACATAGCATGTTGGAATGACAATTTGAGCGAAAGATCCACATTCACATTGCATTCGACGTAAATACCGAATGTGAGGAATGTACATGCTTGTGGTGAGCGGTGGGTAGATTCCATGATTCCGACATACGACAACGGACAGCATCACAGCAGCTAACAAATGGCATTCCGTGTTACCTGTGTGGAATCACATTGAATAATTTATGTTTATCATTTTCCAAAGAATAATTATACTTGTAAACGGAAACGATTAAAGCGTTTAAAATGATGCACAAAATAGGGTTTAATAAAGCTCTTTAATTGTTAAATGTATTTCTTTAAGTTTATTTTATTTTGTCGAAGTTATTTAAATTCGGTTTTATTTCTTCATCAAACTAATCTCTTGACTATGTAAAATAATGTTTAGCCATTTAAAAGTTCAATCCTTTGTTATTCGTAACTTTATTTATCATAACACTATGATTAAATCAAAATGTGATTGTATCAAGTTATTGTTTTGTCTTTACTTGAGGTTTATTTTTGTTGTTGTATCGTGTAATCTATTGTTACTTAGTTGTTTTGTTGTTTCATCAATGAGATATGAATAAATTGAGCGTTTTTTTCTATGGTTATTGAATATCTTAATTATAATCGTATGTATTTGCAATTTACCACTTTGAATAGTCATTGACAGTTAACAATAATAACATGTTAACACCATTAGTAAATTAATTAATTAATTAAATGGATCGGTACACATCAAAAAGTAATGACTAACGAGAAAGGCGAAAAATTTGTGTAAGTAATTGTGCGATTTTTAAAGACTGTAGAAGAAATATTCAATTTACTCAATTTACTGTTCGCCATCTTGAACAGTTTAAGTTTTCTTTGTCCAATTGGAATTGGCTGCTTGGTAATTAAATAAATAGAGCTGTCCGTCTGTTTTAAAGTAATGATTAATGAGAATGGTATGTGGTAGAAGGGTGATTGATCGGTCAATAGTTTCCTGTCCCGTACTTAGTATCTGGTCAATTTGTGGATTTTTAGATTGTTTTCAGTCTTATAATAAAGCGCCTGGTTGAACCATTACAATTCTAATGGACAATTATGGTTATTAACTAGTTACCTTAAAAAATGCTCAAAAATAATAAATATACATTTTTTCACGGAAATAAAACTAAAAATTGTTGTGTACTCACCGTACACATGTGGGTGGGTTATTTTAGATTTTTAGAGTGTATTAGGACGAATATTTTAATTTTGTGAATTTGACCATGGACAATTTTGGTAAGTTCAATTACCTTTTTCAGTAAGAGCAGCTACTTCTCATCTAGACGTTTGTGTGTATGGCAATGACTACTTATTGGCCATAAGTAACCAAGATAGAAAGGTAACACGATAAATATCCAAATATCATGTGTTTTAATGACACGTTTAGAACCCTATACCTGAACTCCATTTTCAACATCAAAAGTGTTCAACGAATCATTCTCATTAGTAATTTTGTTATGAGTTAATTAGCATCTCTATGACAAAGTGTCCTATTTTTTCTTATATCACTTAAATTAAACATTAAATCCACCAATGAAAATAATACTTTACGCAACTTAACAACTAATTGTAACAATAAAATGGAACCACAGATTATTGTTAAAGAGTAAGTGAATACGCTGTTTGTGTTTATTAAACACAGATTGCCAGTTATAAAAATTAGTAATATAAGCTAGTCTAAATTATCAGAGTTATGGTTTCTTGAATCACAGTATTGTTCTTAACCAGTGGCGTGAAAAATGAGAAAACACTAAAAACTTGTTTCACTTTATTTGGAATACATATGTTGACTAGTACACACCTAATGACTTTATAATTCTCAAGACACATTCACAAATTTACTTTTCAGGTAAGTTAATGTTTACTACATTCCAAACCACTTTATAAATCAATAAATAAATTAAGTTTTGATCTACAAACAATTACTTACATTTTACGTTTAGTGTACTACGTTGATACGTTGATATTTAGGTATTGCGTAACAGGTTTTAAGTAACCTAGAATTGTTTTCTGTTTAATATTTTAAAAAGAAATCGCTGGTATTACAGTTATATTTTATTTAAAAATAATTTAATATCGCCATCTATAATACAAAAATCCGCCTAATGATTTATATGAAAGGCGTGAAAGGTGAACTGCTTTAAAAGAGCAGATTTTATGTTCCAAAAGTAATTTTTGTATTCATAAATTAATTAAATAATGGGCATTCAGATTGGTATGATAGGTGATAGTTGAATTTATAATGTATATAGCATTTTCCTAGCTTGATAAATTTAAATCAATAAAGCTATGTTTTGTTGACAAACTGGGCATAGAATAGCCGGAAAGTCATATTAAGTTAGAATTTAAATCGTTTAATTACTACTTATAAGTATGCAATTTAAATAGTCTACGATTTAACATATAAATAGTTCTTCAATCTACTTTTTATAGTTATTTCATCCCAATGCTTTTCTTAACGGGGTAATTTTAATACCTTTCTAAATTGTGATAAAGATTCTGGATTAAATAGTTTCTCTTCAGTACTCTGCTAAAGTTTATCTAGCTTTGTTTTTTGTAAGAGGAAATACTTTGCCAATATCATACATACGTTTAGTTGACCTTCGGGTTTAGAAATTAGGGCGAGATACATTTAGCTAGTTAATATATTCTTATGCAAAACCTTTTAAGAACAATTATTAAACAAACTATTTGTTTTAGGATTTACTGGATGTTATGGAATGCAATACATTTTATATTATAGGTTTTGTCGTGGTTTTTACCGTTGCAGAATACATCGATGACAAGGTAAAATTTATCATAAAATATTTCTATGTTATATTGACAAACTTTACTTCTCTCTACAAATATATAAAATAATCTAATTTTGTCTTCTTTTTACTATAAAAATATTTTACAGTTTTTTTATTAGTAACTAGAAGCTACTTACAAGTACCTTTTCCAAACTGAAATAAATTCAAGATTATTATTTCATAATTATAATAAGATAGTTATTGAGTGAGAACTAAATTGTGACACAATATAAGTAACAAAATAAAATTTAAACTTGAAACGTTTGGTTTTTTGGTGTTTCTTCTTCCTGAAACATGCTTTGTTGAATAAACATTCCCTTTCTATTGACAGGTTTCGGAAAATTAAAATAATCAATTACTACAACTTAATATATTTTAACGTCACTGTTATGTACGCACAAACCCAGTTTTCTTAATCTAATATTGGTTTAAATTGAATTTAAGATTAAATATTTTGCAACAGTGATTGAATAGTAAAATAAATAGGCCTACTTTTTCAGATAAAACTTCAGGACAAAGATGTAAATTCAACGATTGACGTAATTAATGGTACACACCCAATACTTAACGGCACAGAAAACACAGAAGATTCTGACGACAGAGGAATAGAGCCGCGATTTTTAAGAGATACCATTATGTGGTTTTACAATAAGCTCTTACAACAAAAACAACCGATA